GGCCCAGGAGCTTCGGGAATCTTCCGGATTTGGCTGTGTAGAACCTCCTAGAAGGCACAAAGAGTTGCCCTTTACAGGGGGTGGGCTTCTGGGAAGGCGACCCCTCCTCTCAATGTCGACTCTCCCTGAGCTTCATCTTCTGAAATGCATGCGCTCCTCCACACAGTCACAAACGCCTCTTGAGCAACAAAAAGCTTGAGGGTTTTATTAAGGTTTACCTGGAACCCCAATTACCTACAGTTTTATGGGTTATACCTTTAAGGAGTCACTACTACTAAAGTGTAGTAGGGACGACCCGCTCTTCTCTCACATGCAGGTGAGGGGCTTTTTGCAGCGCTCACCTTGAAGCCACGCGAGTGCACAGGAACTCCCGAAGGATTTTAGGAATCAAGGAGCTTAAGCCATGTAAAGCTTGGGTTTTGCGGTGGCTTCAGGTTCAAAAGGAAAAAGGGTGCCCTGATCTGCAATTGGTTAGCCAAAGGCAGTAAATTCAAGACCCCTTCGGAGATTCTGGCGCCCACTACCCCACAGACAAGCAGAGACGTGCCCGTAATCCCAAGAGTCTCGCGGTAGGCTTCCAATGGCTTAGAGTGGCTTACGGGCGTCTTCTATGGAACGAAAGCCGAGCCACTCCTTCTTGAGACCTGGGCACGGTAAGGGACATTCGGATTAGGCTCATTAGTTGAGGGCTTTGGGAACGCTAGCGGTTTGCATGCGGATGATGCCGATTCCGGAGTTAGGGGATATTGTATGCAGCACAGTTGTAAGGTGAGCTCTTCACATTGGGAACCGCCCCACACTTTGGCCACGAGGCCCATCTGCCCCAACGCTGATGAAGCACTTGTTCTTGAACTTGTCCTTGGTCGTTGGGCGGCCCAAGCGTTGAAAGGTCTACAACGGCCTATAGTCAAGCAACTCTGAGCACTGGACGTGCCGGCAGGGGCCTTCAACAGAGACCCACCTTTTTCAAAGCCCAAGCGTCGTAGATTCCGTACCGGAAGTGGGAGATGGGTTTGACCATCTTCTCCACCGCCTAGGCAGTTGCCACAACAGGGCTTCAAGCCCAAAAAATATGCCCAAACCTCCGGAGACCCGCAGACCGAAACCCCGAAACCCTTTTGCAGCATGCGGAAGTCCTCAGGTTGGAGCCCAAAGGCCCGAATGAAGGCAAAGAGTGGCCCACAAAGCCCCTGGAGCCTTGGGGTGGTGGAGGAGAAGGTGGAAGATGAACAAGTTGTCCTGGGCTTTACTGTGCCACGTAGAGCCCCCCTTGCGACTAAGGCCCCGAAGACCAGAAAAGGAGGCGGGGTGGGCGGGGTGCAAGAGAGGATTGTGTAGGACGTTCGTGGCTTTCTCAAGGACTCTCTGGCTACAGGATGTATGGTCTTGCTGCCTCGGGTGATCTCATCAACCATGCTTCGGCCGAAACTAGTAGTGCGGCGGTCTTGCTCGCAGGGTAAGACACGAAGAGCATTAGGTCATGGATAAGATGTGCGAATCTGGGTGAACGAAATGAACGAGCAATGCGAACATGATGTTATTCGTGCCTTCTGGGTCAGCGGATGATTGGGGCATAGAGGGCCCAAATGCCCCTACTATCTGGTACCTTTCATCTCTTGGTAGAGGACTGAACTAGACGAACCCTAAACCCTAACCCTATAAACCCTAAACACTCACCCTAAACCCTAAACCCTTAACCCTTAAACCCTAAACCCGGTGGACCCGAGCACGCGTCCTCCGTGGAGAGTTCTCCTTTAGTGCCGTCATCTTCGGCGACCGAGTCCTGCAGTCGGCAAACGATGCCCTCAACGAGTCCCCACTTGGGATGCTCCCCCATGATACTCACAGCCCTTGGTAGGGATTCTAGTACCCCCTATACTTGTAATCCCTTTTAAAAGACTGGTAGTATAAGGGTGGAACATCCCACGTCCCACCTGCAGGGCAGGGGGCAGGAGATGAAACCCCCCCGAAATTGCGAGGGCGTGGCTCCTGGATCTTCTTCACGTGCGCTGCGAGATCTGCACGGCTGCTGAAGAGCCTGCCTCCGCCAGGAAACGGGTGGAAAGGGCTTGGCTTTTGCAGGGTTTATCTGGGACAAGGGGGTCGGGAAACGAGGCAGGGGAAGGGAGGAAGAGCGACTGAGCCCTATAGCCCTCCGGTCTGTTCGAGGGTGGACGCAGCCCAACTCCAAACACCTGGGACATCAGAGGTTGTGCTCTGAAGTCTCTGCCCGAACCCTACAGGACCCTCGGCAAGACTTAGGGGTTCCTAAACCCTAAACCCTAAACCCTAAACCCTAAACCCTAAACCCTAAACCCTAAACCCTAAACCCTTGCAGGGGGTCAGAGGCCTGCCAGGTAAATCTTCCTGCCCGGCGGCTCCGCAGCCTCTCCTGCGGTGCTCTCCTCCACAGCAGAACAGAACAACTGGCACTTATAAGGCCCGAGTTGAAGGTCTCTACTCTCGATCTCTCTGTTCCTATAGAGGCAAGCTCCAGCTGGGTGTGTTTTCCATCTTCCATGGCTCTATGCTCTGGCCCTGAAATCTGATCCAAAACTCATGCTGGTCCCTTAAATGCTTAATCGTCCCGATTTGCAGCCGTCTCTCGTGCAACTCTGCCCACATTGCGCCTCCTCTGCAGGCTTGGGTGTTGTGTCCTCCTTCATGTCAGAAGTCTCACCAACAATGAACCCTCATGAATTGGGATGTTCCCCTTATACTAACAGTCCTTAATCGGGACTATAGTACCTCCTATTCTATTCCTTGTGAAGGACCGGTAGTTTCAGGGGGAACATCCCAACTCAAGAACCAAAAAAAATCTTCAAGCTGGTGTTGCCACTTCATGCGTCCCAAAATCTGCAAGCCCAACGTTGCAATAGGGTACATTGTAACTACGGCTCTTTCAGGCCCTCCCCGTAGCGAAGGGCCCCTGCAACCTCCTTTGCACAGTTCCCTGCCCGAAGAATCGAAAGCGCCGCAGTGTGGCCCGAAGACGACCCAACAACAGAAAACACTTCACGTCCTCGATCATTCAACCCGAGAATCCCACGCCCGAAGTTGCTCTGCTTCCCTACCATCATGGCCCCTCCTATAGAACACACACCCAATGCCCGGATAGGCCCACCCTAGCCCCCCCCCCCCCCTCTCTCCAAGAGCCCCCAAGTTATTGCGGTCCTTGAAACCCAAGGAACCCTCCTCTGGTCCAGAGCTAAGGGCCGCCTTTGTCTTGAACGCAACTGACTTCCATGCTTCGGAAAGCCTTTAGTGGTACTGGTACGGCTGTTGGCGCTTTTTTGGTAAGCCGGTGAAGGACCGTCATTTCAGAAAGCTCTGAACCCCGGGTGTCCCCCAGAATTTCCTCAAACCATTCCCGAACAGATGAGAAAGGCCTGAAGCGCCTGACTACTGAGTGGCTTCATACGCCCTAAACCCTAAACCCTAAACCCTAAACCCTAAACCCTAAACCCTACACCCTAAACCCTAAACCCTAAACCCTATAAACCCTAAACCCTATAAACCCTACATCCTAAACCTTCTTCAGACCAGGTGCATCCACTGCAGCTCCAGCGTCTGCCGGTGCATCTTCGGCTGCTTCAGCTGGCGCCTTCTCGGGCGCGGCTTCCGCTGCGGGAGGTTCGTCCTGCAGGCTTCACCCTAAACCCTAAACCCCAAACCCTAAGCCCTAAACCCTAAACCCAAAACCCACAGACCCTGAAGCCTTGCGGTTTAGGGTTTATAGGGTTTGCAGGCAGGCCCTCCCTCAAACTAGCCCAGCTCTCTCACGGCTGAGCTTTGATCAGGAAGCATTTGCATGGGGAGTACTTCGTGAAAGCTCGTGAAGAGCACATCGAATCCGAAGCAACACACAGCACTCTGCCAAACAGTCCTGCGCGGTCATCCCTGATGCAGGCCACCAAGCAAATGGTGTCCACTCTCAGACGCTAAGGGGTCGGAATAGGAAACAAAGCTTTGCTTAACCTAAGCACCGCAAGTCATGTCCTAGTGCAGCCGCCTAACTTATGCAACCGATGCAGGTCTTGCTTCAGGACATGGGGGGGGGTTCACTTGCTGCCTCAAGCATATGCCTCGTGGCGACTCTTGAGCCGTGGAGCTGCGGTTTGAACAAAGTCTGTATGTTGAAGCAAAAAAAACAACACCCGAAGCATCCCCCCATATACGCACTCCAACTAGGCTCATGAAGCCCCAGCCCCGCCTTTTGACGAATTATCAGAATGGGGTGCCCACAGCGCGATGTGGAAGAACAGATCCAACCCTTTGCCAAGTAGATGCTGAAACATGAGCCCAGAACACCCCAGAGTCCACATGGAACCGTGTAGCCCCAAACCCACAGAACCTCAAGACCTGCTAGACTCTAAGCCCTAACTCTAAACCCTGAAGACCCTAAATCTCGAACCCTCAAGTTGCTGAGGGTCGGAGGAATCCTCTAACATTGAACTCCCGAGCTTCCCCACGAAGCCCGGGCCCCTTGCCCAAAAAGTCTCGAAACCCTCAGTACAGATGGGGGCTAGTTTGACTGAACTCTGCAACCTTCCGGCATTTCGGCTTGAAAAGATCGGCTGGGTTGTAGGGTGGAATGCTTCAAACTGGGATACAATATCGGATACAACTTGAACCTTGGCACACGGGTATGACAAGGTTTTGCAAGCCCAAGCCGGAACACCTTCCTTCCCAAACCGCGAGAAACTACGGGGACTGCTTCAAAACATTTGTTTCTTTACCCTAAACCCCCTGCCATCCTGCAAGTAATATAGGGGGCCTGAATTAGAACAGGGTTTTGGGGGGCTAGTATGGTATAGTAAGAAAGGGACCATGAGGAAAACGATTAGTACTTATTCCGACCCCTAGATTACTCATGATATTCCTTTACGGCCCCTTTTTCAATCTGCCAAAATAACCCCCCCTAAACCCTTTTTTGCTACTGGACTCAAACCCTAAACCCTGATCGTAACTATTCCGACACCCCTAGATTATTCTCCCGCCTGTCGGCGCCACGCCCCTCCAAGCGCATGGCCCCAAGGACGGACAGCGCCTCTCTCCAGCGGCCGCTGGGGCCTCCCAACGAGGCACCATGGTGAGGGTTCGGGTTTAGGGTTTAGGGTTTAGGGTTTAGGGTTCAGGGTTCAGGGTTCAGGGTTCAGGGTTTAGGGTTTAGGGTTCAGGGTTCAGGGTTCAGGGTTCAGGGTTCAGGGTTCAGGGTTCAGGGTTCAGGGTTCAGGGTTTAGGGTTTAGGGTTTAGGGTTTAGGGTTTAGGGTTTAGGGTTTAGTGTTTAGGGTTTAGGGTTTACCTGTACCCCCAATTCCCTACAGTTTAGTAGTAAACCCCTTATCTAGTAGGTATAACCCTTAAAACTGTAGCTAATTGGGGTTACAGGTGCTCAGGGCTTGGCTTAGTTTATGCTGCGCGGTCTTTGAGATCCGAGAAACTGAGCGCGACTGCACGAACCAGGATGTCATCGGACGCGCCCACACTGTGTCCATAAACTAAGTAATAAAGGGGCCTTAACAAGTATAGTGTTTTGGGGATTTTTGTAGTATAATTATAACGGGCCATAAGGGAATAATGGCAGCAGTTATTCCAACCCCCATATGAGTGTGGACCAGTGTGACAGGCTATGTTGGCCTCGTTTCAGGCCCACAGCTGGCATCTTAGGGCTGCGGGCCACTGCACATGCCACAAGTCATATGCTTCTGCTGTTACCGGGCGCAACGTCTCCAGCTGCGCCCGAAAGGTTGCCAGCAGAAGGGCAACCGAGTGCAGCCTGAACCTAGCATGTGGTCATGAAGAACCTGCTATACAGCTACGCAGCTACCCTAGACTTCTACCCCCCCACAGTGGTGCGGCAAACGCACTCCTCACCTCACCTCAGAGGAGTTGACTTAAGGAAATGCAGTCGCTGGCTGCATGCAGGAACCGGGAAGCTTAGATCACTCGGACGTTCACTACAAAAACTCACTAGTCCTGACGAGTCACGACCCAAAGCCGCAAACATTCCCAAGCAGTACTTATGAAGCCCTAAAGCCCTGCAAAAATCGCTGAGGCTGTCCACGCAAGGCTTGCACTGCTTCGTGGTAGGGCACAGCCTGAAAGGACAGGTTCCGCCGCTACTGCCTACGGTGCCATGCACCTCTCCAAAAAACTCAACACTAAACTTTGCCCTAAACATCCCTACTAACCCCTCTTTTCGAAACCCCCGAGGCCAAAACCCAGCGACGGCCGGTCTCCAGCTCCTGGCCAATTTCGGGGCTGCCATCCCCGATCCTCCCCAAACCCTTTTTGCCTAAACCCCAAACCCTACGCGGCCCAGCCGATGCTGCTACATCGTGTGTCCGCTGGAGGCGGCGGGTCTCTCCGAGCCCATAATTCCCTCAAGGGGCTCTCTCTATCTCTCTATCTCCCTATCTCTCTATCTCCCTGTCTCCCTTCTCTCTCTCTCTCTCTCTCTCCGTCTTTATCTTTCTCTTTCTCTCCCTCTCTCTCTCGGTCTCCGTCTCTATCTCTTTACGTTTCTCTTTCTCTTTCTCTTTCTCTTGGACTTTCTCTTTCTCTTTCTCTGTCTCTCTCTCTCTCTCTTTCTCTCTTTCTCTTTCTCTCCCTCTCCCTCTCCCTCCCTCCTTCTCTCGCTCGCGCACTCATGTTCCGCGAATTCTCACAATACTAGCCTAGAGTCTGGCCTAGAAGACCAACCCGCCCTCCTTGAAGGACTGCCGGCGCTTGTGTCGAAGCTCGGCCAGGAGCCACATCGCCCAGTTCCAGCCTTGGGCTTCGAAATGGTGGAATTTGGAACGTTAGAGTTAGAGCTAGTTCATGATTGGGATAGTAATGTAATGAAAATTTAAATTTCTATTCCTTATTGAGTTTGAGTACCCTTGAAATGTAAAATGCCACCCCACTATGACAAAGAGAGGTTCATGTCTCGGTTTCTTAGGGCTTGCGAGAGCCATTGCGGCAGGGCCGTGCTATGAGCCACCACACGCCTACGACGCAAACCCCAAATGCAGCAGCTCGCCCTCGCTTGGGACGAAGCGGTTGCTTCTGCCACAGGCCGCGATGGTCGTGCTGTACGACACGGAATTGGCACCTGTCGGCAGTAGGAGGTACGTGGACTTCCGAACCCTCTGGCAAATCGAAAAAGCTCCGGCGCAAAGAGCGCTTGAAGTTCGACCATGGCCTGCTGCTAATTACTCACCCCCGAGGTGCCAAATCAAACGGCCAACTTCAGAATTAGAAAAACTGCCCATTCCAAACCATGTGGTGCAGCCTTGATGCTAGGTTGTGGGCTTCAAACTTCAAACCTGTGAACAGAAAACTGCTCGACAAAGCACACCCGCACGTGCTCAGTGAAGATCTTTGCTTGGTAACTTCGGTTGGAAATTGTGTACAACATAACGTGTCAACCTGCTTGTTGAGCAGGCCCGCATCAATTACCGGACTTGTTCAAGGAGACACTCCTTGGCTTGCCGGCGGGACCTCGCAACAGCCTCCCAAGACAGCCTTCAAGAAAGTGAAAGGCAAGGCCTGAACCCTTAAACCATAGGGGGCGATCCTAAAACCCCCAAAGCCTTGATTAAACTTCCCCCTACAAACCCAAACCTTGGAGCACAACCTCCTTACCTAAACCCGCCAGTTGACCCCACTCACTTGTCTTTGGGGTAGGCGGGTGCTGGTCGAGCGCTCGGCGAGACCCTAGCACCCCCAACAAGAAGCGTCCTTCGGGGGCGCTGTCCTGAGGCCCTGGAAGTCGGCCCGTTGTAGGGTCTTGATTGCAACGCAAGCCAGTAAAGTGTTCCAAGTTCCAAGTGTCGCAAGTCAGTGACCCCAAGCGACCAAAGGACGAATGCCACACGAGTCTTCGGCGGCGTACATGAATCAGTGCTCCAAGCAACCCATTGTGGTAGAAGTCTGACGCCAAGGACATCCCCTGCCCACGTCACAAGTGTCCCAAGTGACCGAGTGCATGAAGTGTCCAGTGCAACAAGTGTCCCACGTGACCCGAGCGACCCAAGTGTGCTCCCAGTGTTCCAAGTGACCGGAGTGTTCCAAGCACCCGGGTGCTCCGACACAGGTGTCTTCAGTGAATCCCTAGTGACTTGAAGTGACCTCAGTGTCCCAAGCACCCAAATGTTCCCAAGTTTCGTGTCAGGTCCGAGCAGGCATCCGTGGCACATAACCAGCCGCAGCGGATAGAAGCTGTTCGACGCACGCGGAAATCGGAAAATGGAAAATCGTTGCAAGCCAGCATGCGAGAACTGCAGTTCCAAAAATTTGCCAGCGGCAGGGTTTCTGTTAAAATGACATGTCAAAAGTACATGTTGCATTGGAAAAAACGAAAAGAAGGCTTTCAATCTATGAGAGTTGCAAGTGGGCGGTCTTGCGGTGGGTAGGTCTGCGCGCTTACAAAGCACACTTCCGTTTGGCGCGCCCTTGTTTTGGCTTCGCCTAAACCCTAAACCCTAAACCCTATGCGGAGGTTGCCTTGTATAGGTTGAAAGGGTTAAATACCCGCAAACCATTTTGGCTCAAGGATGGCCAAGAGCTTTCCGCTTTCGTTCAAAAAGTGTGAGTGCCTGGGGTTGGGTTGTAGGACCTTAGGGGTTCCTCTCCCTCTCTTTTTGCCAAACCTTAATCCTCTTAGTGTGTGTTTCGGTTCAGGGAGTTCATTTAGGCAGCCAAGGGTTGAGACTCTTCCTTTTCCCCTTTCGGTTGCCCCCGTACCCTAAACCCCCCCTAAGCCTAAACCCTAAACCCTAAACCCTAAACCCTAAACCCTAAGCCCCAAACAAAAAAACCCAGACCCTAAACCCTTTGCCTTCAAAGCCCTGCTGTGCCTGCGCCTAAGGACTGCAGAAACCAGAGCGCTTGCTCCCAGCAGCCGCCCCCTTGGTAGGGCTTAGGCTTAGGGGTTTAGGGTTTAGGGTTTAGGGATTAGGGATTAGGGTTTAGGGTTTAATTAGGGTTTAGAGTTTTGCGGCTTAAGGGTTTAAGGGTCTATAGGTTCTTTGGTGGGCTTCTAGGCGTGGAGTTGATAGCTTCGAAGATTCGCCGGGCACCCCAAACCTGGAAAGGTTACACGAAGCCACCAACAACGAAACTCTGTGCTGTTAAAGAAAGGGGAGGGCATGAAAGGAAGTCGTCCGCTAGTCTCCAGGAAGGCTCAGCTACGAATTCACTGGGGGGGGGGGGGTGGGTTTAGGGTTTTTGTTTTGTTTTTTCTTAGGGTTCAGGGTTCAGGGTTAAGTTCAGGGTTTAGGGGGGGGCTTCCCGCGCAGGACCACAGCAAAACACTCAAGTGCTGCCCAAAAAGCCGCAGATTTGACCACCAAGCCACAAATGTTCGAAATCTCGACTACGGACCTAGACCCATCTGAAATCTCAATTGCCTACAAGTTTGTGGCTTCTACAACCCAAGAACCTACAGTTTTATGGGTTATTCCTATTAATTCAGGGGTCGCTACTACGATACTGCAGGTAAGTGGGTTTGCAGGCACACCTTCCTAAACCTTTCTTACGCCTTTGAGCCGCTGTTGTCTTCCTTGAGCGGCTCAGGGCGGGAACAAAGAAACACAACGGACTCGGGAGGGTCTGTGCAGGTTACGAGGTCTCATCAAAACCCTGTGACTCCGTGAGGCCTGAAATGCCTTGAAATGCCTCATGGTACAGGGGCTTAGGGTTCAGGGCTTAGCTAGGGTTTAAGGTTGAATCTTAGGGTTTATAGGGTTTAGGGATTGTAAGGGTTGACGGTGGTTGTTGTGGGGGGGTGGAGCCGGGTGGGTGCCCTTCCTCCCCTTGGCCCATGATCACCTGAGCCACGCGCGCTCCAGGGCGCCCAGCAGAGAATTGCAGATGAGGATGCTCGGCCTAAGGATGGCCCAGGTTTCTAGTTCATGGTTGGGATAGTATTAAGAATTTAAATTTCTACAGCGGGCGGCCCTAGTCCCATCCACTTTGCCTCCGGACGCCCTCCCCCAAGGAGCGCAGGTCCCAGCCACGACCCCAAAAAGTCCCAGCCA